CCCCCTCCCCCGCTTTAATACATATGCACCTATGGAGCAGCAACAACGATGAACAACATTTTAAAAATCATACCTTATAATGAATCAAGTTTGAATAAGATTATAAGCAAATTCACAAAAAAGTCTGGAAATTCACTAAAGTATATGTAAATTTGTTGAAATGTTTTTACAAGATTAGGATTCATGTCAATAATAATATACAACATATATTTTTCATACCACGAGGCCAAGCAAAATTTTGGGATATGAAGAAAATAATCTCACCATAGAAACCAGCTTAAAATGCAAGTTTTGAAAATTTTCAATTACATTTCAGACTCTTTTTATCTGGAAACATTGTTTCGGTAACCATAATTTATTTTGTATTTTTGGTATCCTGATGACATTAACTCATAATAATTAAATGATGGACATAATGTATAATCTTAATTCAGCAAGTGCATAAAAAAACAAATTAAGCTAAACTAAGACTTCTAATTTTACTGGCACCAACAAATAAAACACACTCCATAGATAAGGTATGTAATATCATTTATTCAATAATAATATATAAATAATATTATTTCTGATTCTCTTTATAACTTACATAAAGGGTAATATGTAATGAACAGTGCTAACAATTCAATTCAGATGCTAAAGGTGAAATCCGGGCAAACATCATAATGCTCCTAGATGAAAGAGTTTCACAAATGTAGGAGAATGCAATTTACAGTCTTTTTTATATCTAGATATTCAACTTTTCATTAGTTTATGTAGTCCACCATGTTGATTCATCAGCAAAGGATTGTGGGTAAAGTGTGACATCATAACCACTGTTATTAAGTAAATAATTTAATCTATAACTTCAAAAGTTCATCTAGGAACATTATTTTGTTAGTCTGGACTTTAAAGCGAGGGAGTCGTCACCGTGGGTGACGCCCCTCTCGCTTCAAGGTAAATAATTATGCACATAATATCAATAAAACTAAAAAGTTTGCAATTGTTTAATAGCATACGACTTATTTTTTTGTGTGAATCTGATCTTGCATGCTTGTAATATAAATGAGAATTCAATTCATATGCAAATTTTTCTAATTAATTCATTGTGCATCCAAACCTGATAACATTTGCAATTGTTCCATAGTATGTGACTGCTCAGTCATATATGTCAGGCAGACAGACAGACAGACAGACAGACAGCAGTACGACATAAGCACCTGTTGACTGTCAACAAAAGCTAATGAAATCAAAATGTAAATCTAAACTGTTAATAACAATACGTCCTTTTATAGCAGAAAATGCCACACATACATTTCTTATTATACAATAGCGGGATTGTGGCACCACAGTTTAAGAAAACAGGAAAACAGGACACATACATTTGACATATGAACACCAAGAATAACAAAATTTAAAACAAAATTTACATTAATCTTCCGAAAAGTATTGCTTTTAAAAATGGCACAACTGTCCCCTCCACAAACACAAGCGAATACACATATGCACGCACACACGCAGATATACGCACACCCATATATCACATGATCACTTATAGTGAGTTTACCGTTAATGCCAGCAGTGACAGTAACCAGTTAAATGTATCAAGCATTTGTTACCAAGGAATGGCAGTGGAAGCATTTGATAAATATAAAAACTAAAGTGACATACAACTCAACATGAATAAACCAGTAATGTTATTTCACAGTGTCTCCACCACAGGACGTTCATTTCATTTCATAACATCACAGGTTCATTTACAATCACAGTTGTTACACTGCACTCAATATGAGTCTTGTATGACATATATAATAAATTAAATATTGGTTGTTTTCACGATATTCAAAACACAATAACTAAAATGGTTAATTCTCTCCATACACAACACAGTTTTTAAAATATGGTAGCAATACTGTTGTATGTAACAACTTTATATGATCAGCTCTGATTAAGATATACTAGGTAAATTTTTTGTTGCTTACTAAAATTATTTTAAAAAGAATAATAATGAAAATCCGATGCCTAAGTATTGAATGATGACACGAGTCGGTACAAAACTTGAATAATATGCACTTTGAGGTTTAAGATGCTGTAAACACCATATAGACTGTGGGTTGGGACGCTGTAAACATCCTTTATATATCTGTATACATATACTACAATAAATGTTATTATAAGATTAGAGGAAATAATTAGTTTCAGTTTTATAAATTTGTGACTTGTCTTGATGTGAATGGATATCAATAACCCATTCACTATCGTTTCCATCACAACTAGTCCTGCTTTATATCACCTTATTTCAACAAAGTTAGTCATAATTTTATCGTGATGATTGTGATACTCTTTTTCCAATTTTACGACTGAAAATCCTCAAAAAGGTTTCAAGATTTCTTTACATCAATTTCCTGATATAAATTATATCTAAAATAGGACATCAATATTCATGTGTTGGCAGGATACTGTAAATGGCATTATTATACATAAAGAGATACCTTAGTACTGTAGAACACATTATTCTTGGCTGAATTTAATGTTTTATATTGTTTTATTGATTAATATCTGTAATTTTCACTGTTTGAAAGCGAATGAAACTGAATTACCGTATTTGCTCTATTACCGTTGTAACGTATATGCTTATATAAATTACAGAGGCGTTTCTATGGTAACATTTAATGATTCCCTATAAAACAAAAAGGAATTTGGGTTTACATGCACTGTGTTTGGAGATGATCTTTTAATAGAGAAAATACGGTACATGCAGTGTGTACAATATCACTAGAAATGGTTTGAATGAACATTACTGTAAAATACTTTTCGCTTGGAATTAAATTTCGCTATTTTCACTGAAGGAATTCCAAATATTGAATGATTACGCACATAAGGCTGCCACCAGGGTTTGCTGATTCTGTTCTAAATTTTTTTGGATTTTGGCATTCCCATGATGTATCCTTGGGAGGAAAATATGTATAATAGTAAGGTTATTATGAGAATAACGTAAAGTATGCACTCAGACAGTACGTCAGTTGATGCTTCCACTGTACTGTCTTCGTGCATACTTTACGGTATCTTCGTAATAACCTCATATTCACTGACGCAGTGATGGCATAATGCTGGTAAAAATTTGCATTTAGCCGAATGGTGCACCAGAAATAAAAAAAAAATGTTTTGACCTAACCAGTCTAATCAGGTAATGATCTCACAACAGCAACATAGCTTGCAATGTTTTTAGTTTGGTATTCGGAACAATATATAAAATATATATAATCGACTACAAATATAAATGATAAATTACATGCATATACTATTAATAAAGATTATTATTATTAATAAGAAATAAAAGGTAACAATAAAATTCAAGTTATTCCGCAAGATTACATAAATAATAATATGGATCCTATATAATACACAGTTAGAACTACTTTTACCGGTATGTCATGCTTCACTGATTAAAAACGCGCATAATTTTGTAAATGATTTTTAGATGTGTGCATTGGATATTAGCCTCTTAACTTCTAATGGATGAAATACAGTAATCTGACATGGTTGCACAGGTAATGTACCATTTCAATGTCCAATGGATGAAACAGTGTACTGTAAAATACTTTATTTTCGCTTGGAATTAATTTTTGCTATTTTCGCTGAAGGAATGATTCAGTGAAAATAAAATCTTTTCTATATTTTACATTCAACTCATCAAAAATCAGTGAAAATAAATTCCATACAAAACACCCAAAAAGTCTTTTCAGCGAAAATTAATTCCAGCTAAAATAAAGTATTTTACAGTAATTGGCATGGTTTCACAAATGCTGCAGCTACTGTAAAATGACTAATTTTTGTTGGGTTTAAATTGCGCTGATTTACCATTTCAGGCACATTCAGTGTGTTTTAAATTCACGGTTTTATCATTTAGAATAATGTGTTCTATGCTAAATGTTACAAATTCACTGGGTTTCAATTTAGCGCATTTTCCAGTCAGCGAAATAAGCAAAATTAAAACCCAGTGAATAATTAACCCCTTTACAGTATTAAACTTTTAAGTGACATTACCCCATTGTGCAGCACTGGGAATCTCTACAATAACTGCTGACTGAATAATATGTCTAATTCAATTACATTATACCTCAATGACTCAAGATAATATTATTGCACTAACAATATATAGCACAGAAAATATTTGGCAACAAAGAAAAAAAAGTCAAGTAGTGGTTATATCATGTAAAAATAATCAAAATTGATAAAATAATGCTGGAAGAAAGTTTAAAGTATCAAACAGAGGTCTTGCTAGCAATGCTGACAACATGTCCTAAAACGAACACGGCCAAAACAGATACATCATATGTATTATTCTACATTTCCTGTATTCATTTTGTGAATGCTCCCATTTATCAGTATCAGTTTATAGTTACTAATAATTTAAAATAATGACACAGTAACAACATTTTATGGAAGCCAGGTAGGCTTCCAATTTCAAAAGTTGGTAGTCCTGTAGTAATACTTGGTAGTCCATCATGTTTTGTAGAAATTTTAAAGCATGCCAAAAAAAGTGTGAACAGAAATAAATAAATAAATGTCACATTGTAAGTAGGAAACCCATAACGTTGAACATACATTTGTTGACGTCAAAGTGTATTATTTTTGTAAATTTCTAGCAGTCTGTTTGGGTTTACTATATTTGAAGATACAACCCTAAGACAGGAATTGAAATGGTTGTCTGTGTGTCTTAGGCTACTGTTAATTTTAAGCCTTGAGACACACCTACATTTTGTGTACCTATATGTATGCATGAAGTTAATGTTATGTTATGTGCATTTTTAGAATGCAAAATGTGTTGCATTCTGCACATGTTTGTTTTCAAGACGTCTGAATAATGTCAGGAGAAGATTGGAAAACAGTTATCAGCGTTTTCATCTTTTCAATTTGTATCATGCGATGAATTGCAGGAACTATCAACAAAGTCAAGATATTGCCAACCAAGTATAAGATAGCAGAGACTGGAGCTTATTGCAAAGAGAATACGAATAAAAGTCTTTTCTGGAAGCAGGTTCTTAGAGGTTGCCCATAGAAGCACCGAGCCAAAGTTGAACATAGCTGTTAAATACACTGTCCAGCGAACACGCTGATACGCAGAAGCTTTCTGAAGAGATGGACGACTGTAGAGGTACAAACCAATACCTAGCTGGGCATTGAAGAAAAAGCTACTGGCAATTCCTGTGTGATGTCTTGGAAAAATACTGCAAGAAACAAATTGTTATTAAAGTGTTAGATTTGAAGTCCTTTTTTTTAAAGATTTTTTTGGTTCACATTATTTTTTTTTTGCATTGATCAATACCATAGGACACTTACATTTGAAGACACTGCACAAACTTGAACTTTTAGGTATAGTCAAATATTCATAAATATTTAGAAATACATGTACTTCTGAAAAAAATCAGGCTATTGACTCTTGAGGACAACAAACTACACCTTTGTCAGTATAAGCAACGTAATTACAGAATAACTCTTCTCATGTAACAAATCAGAATTCCCAAAAACAAAAAGAGAATGCTTTAGATCAGCCAAATAGTGATGTTTTGACTGCATGAAAATGAACCAATTTTTAATTTTGTTTGTTCAGCAAACAAAATTTATGCCAACTTTAGTCATGATAAATGTTAAACAGCCTATAGAATTATAGTGGATTACATTATGAACAATTAATGTTTTGTCAATCACGTGATAAAATAAAATGAACAGCAGTTTAAATAATTGTCTTCAGTACTTCAACACAATTCTCTGCAGATAATATATGGTTAAAAATGTACATTGGATAATTAAATTATTTTTAGACTTACATCAAGGAAGAAAAATGAATTTTTTTAATTTGATTATTTCAATCTTGCAATAATTAAATCATACATGGATAATAATGGATTTTTTTTCTATGAATAATGTATTTATTTACAGTATAACATTACCGTGACGGGGGAGTTGGTGTAAACAGTTTAATGTAAACAGATAAACACATTAAGTCATTTGGCAAATTCCACGCATTCCGTCATATTTTTTTGTTTCGAAGCATTTCGGGCTACATATCACCAGTGGGTATCGAGTATGATATTCGATGTTTCTTGTTTTCTACATCAATTATGGGTCACGATTTAAAGGGCGTAACCGGGGTTGTTTACATAGCACGGACACAAAGGCTGGTCAATCTGACCTTTCCTGGGTCACCCTCACTTTCACTCACTCAAAGGATGCGAATATAGGGAGACAACACTGACCTGCGAAAAAGTTTAGGTTGCACGACGTTCACTGCAAAGGTAGAGTAGCTGATAGCACCGATACACGGCAAGTAACACGAACATAGGCGCTCTACATTGGCTTCTAATTTCTTAATACGGAATCTCGACAACGGATCATCATCGACCGCCATCATTAAACTGGCTTTCTGACTTTCTCCTCTAGGTGGCGCTGTATCATCAACTCATTATTTATAGAATTTTGAAAACCAAGCTTGACGCAAAACGCTTATCAATATTATAAATTTTCTGTTGCGAAATTTTAGTTTCTTGATAAGTAACCTATGTGATCGATGTTTTTTTTCACGTGAGTTAGGTGTGATTGACTCAAGTAAACTGATACCTCGTTATTCATTACAGTGGACGACTGAAATAAGCGTGTTCGAATTTCATGTAAACTAACAATGTATTTTACACGCGTTGTGTACGTCGCTATGAGTCCCATATCGAACAGGACGCGACGCGACGACTAGAGAAATTGAGTGATAATCAGTGTGTCTAGTATTTCACGTTTACATTGTATCTATATTTTATTTTATGGGTATGGTGGACGCTGCTTATATGCATATTCATAACTGATTTTAGTCGGAGGGTTATGAATGCACAAATTTATACATATGTATTTATACAAATAATATTCACACGGACTACAAAGCATTCCATTCTGACCTAAGTGTGTATTTGATGAAATGTCAACGAATATCGCCCACTAGTGGTTGATTGTTTCAGATCAATATATGCAATAAGTCAATAATGCAAATCACATACAAAGACTGTTTTCGGTAAAATCCTGAAATCCTGATGAGCAACAAGTAACAAAACAATTACGTTTCAGCGAAAAATTAAGTTTGTTCCGTGGTTTTGGCCATGTTTCTTCCCTGAACCCTTTCAAGCTGTGCTTTACGAACTGATGTCACAGCACATATATCAACAATTCCCGAACCTTGGTTTGAATTCTCTACTACCAAACCTATTTAACACACAACAAAACCATCATATATTATCAGCTGACATATTGATGAAAAGAATGTTAATTTTATCAGATGGACGATGTCAACTTTGTTCGCCTTTCACAAACTCAATGAACTTACTGTATTCGTTCTATTAGTAACGCTTATAGTAATTATAGAGATGTGTCTGTGGTAAAAATAAGTATGATCCAGCATACAATAGAACAATGTAATTTTATGTTCATGCGCACTTGTAGATACGGCTTTTTTTTCACGTTTTTTCAACAAATGTGATCCGGAACTGTAGCCTAAGTTTGTTCAAATGTTGTCATATAATTTATAGTTTACGGAAAAAAAACAGGTAGGTGCATTAGTTATTCCAGTGTTACGAGATCACTTATTGTCGCCAGCCCGCATGTATGAGACATATATTATAATACCATGAACGCATATACTATCGTCTTTATTATGTATCATAACTGCACAAGGTTTTCCCATGTCAATGGCTCATCATGTTATTGGCCGATGTTGTGTTACCCCGTCATGCATCGTATCTCTTCTCAAAAAAGTAAACAAATGTAATTCAGTTGGCAACCCGACCGGACACGGTTGTATGGTGATCGGAGTTGGCGACCCGACCGTAAGCTGAACTATCTGCGAGGAACCTCCGTTATGCGTTTTTTGGGTCAATTCATCCAGTATCTCTATGCCTCAGGGTGCCAAGCGTGATTTTGAGTTGTGTTTCCCAGTCTTCGCGTTCCATTTACAACACAAACTTCAAGGCTTCGTTTGAACTAATCTGCTGAGGGTTTATAATAAACAACTTGACTTTTCTGAAATTTAATTCTTAACGGACAATGAAATAAATATTACAACATTGGACTTGGTTGGTTGGCTGTTTACACGCCCTCGTCGTCGAGAAGAAGAAAGTCTGAAAGTAACAAACTATTGCTTGAAGCGGACGTGCATCGTTCAACTAAGATTCAAAACCCCAGTGTATCTGTGAGTATTTTGAAATAGATTTTTGAGACCCCCACACTGGCAAAATAGCACGTGTTATTTTATAGATGTCATATCGTGATGAAGGTTTAAAGTTTGCATGAAGTCGAACATTTTAAATCGTGTGACGGGCGCTGATGATAGTCTGGCGACATAAGAGCATGAGATAAGTTATTCCAACTTCCAAGTGTTGTCTTTCAGTTGATGAAACAATGAAAGTTCGACATCAGTTGCTAGGTGTTGAAAATAAACATCCATTTTTGTAGGTTGCATTCCCATGAATTTACATTATCATTATCACATATAACTAGGCTTTCACCAAACTTTGGGTTACATACGATATTCCTGCCACGGACTAAAATACCTCGTCCCATAAAAGCTTTGGAATTTGAACAGTTTCCGTCATATCTTATCCAATAGTAACCATGAAATTGAATTTAGATGACTGTCTAATATACATTATATGCGAATGAAAATTACGTTTGATTTGGTGATTAGACACCTTGACCTTGAGTGCAGACTAAGTGTTCCAATATTAGACCATTTTCCGTTCACTGCGAGAATCACGCGTTATGCGTGAAATCGAACGTAAAAACAGGACAAACAAAGGTCATAGCGTCGCAGTCGCGTCAAACATCGCGTGGGATTTGACAAACGCGAAAGTATTTCGGGGACATTTCCATGCTTAATAATGTGCTGTCCACATTTGATGATAGGCAATTTCGATTAAGTAAGGGTATTCGGAAGCAATATTCCTCTGTCGAAGATCGGCCGGTCAATGTATGTAAGCTGCGAAATAAAGAAATTCTAGTTCAAAATCAAATCGTTCGATTTTTGCGGCAGACGTTCGACGCGCGTCTTTCATGCATCTCGCGAGATCTCGCAATTGTACGGAAAATCACCTATGTGATTACGTACTTTTTCGTCGCGATCGCAATAGTCAATGTGTTGCAACTTTAATTTAACTTTAATTGTGAATTTCAGATTATGATTTAAAATATTGTACAAATTTAAATCAGCGGAACCATAAGCTGAAACTTTTTTGATTTAATTGTAGTGTAGTTTTATATCGTTATCCGCGCTTATTAGTCAAACGGTCATATCAGGTTTTAAAAAAGTGTATGGTAAAATATCCGATGTTGTCCGGCAATGAAGTACATTTATATACTTGAATTCATGCTAAATGAATAAATAAAAAAAACGTCTGGCCCACGTATAAATGTTTCTACCTCTGTAATCTATGTTCGTCGTTTTCTCTCTATTGCTTTCAAAACATCGCCCTCTTGCGTTAATATGTAGAAAATATTAGTAATTTTAGTTCTTCTAAAGTATACAATATAAACAGACGTTTCCGGCAATGCCTCTTCTTTAGTGTAATATTACACTAGGCATCACTCCAAACTACTAACATCAGCTACCATTTTCTATATATATATATATATCAGAGGTACATTACTTGGGGTTTGCAACTACGGTGACATGATACCAAGATCCCGTTTCAATCTTGCTCTCGCATAAGCGTTCCAACTCAGAAAAAAATGAATGCGCATGCCCGAGGTAACAGAGAGGATACAGAGATGTCCAGGTGGATCAAAATAGCTGCTCACGATATCACGGATTACGATAACTATATTTTCTGTACATTTTCAATGCATTACATTTTTTCACTATGAATGTGGTAATACATGTTTTATTGATTATTACAAACCGCCTATGTCATGTCAGAAGGTCGTAGCATTAGTCTTGCTATCTACGAGATGAGACTTGAATGGGAACTTGACATGATGTCACCATACAGTACCATGCGCGTTGCAAACCCCAAGTAATGTCGTTTCGTCGCGAAAATATACTACCATTTGCCGGTTTGAGAATCACGTGGTATTTTTGTCCGAGTACGTCAAACATGTTACAGCCTCGTTCGCAGCGAGTCGTCTTATAAATAGAAATCAATCTTATCACTACATGTCGGGTTAACGCCACGGAATCCTGAAAAGTTGTGGGTGAATTTGTTTGTATACTTTGTCGATACTACTTCACAAATAACGAAACTGAACAATGTCTTTTGTTGGCAGCACATTGCATAACTATTTAAATAGGCCAGACATTTCATATCCATTTAAATTGACCAGACATGTCCAGGTAAGTCGTCTCTATAACTTCTACCATGGAGCTAAAAAAAGATGGAGCTAAAAATCTTTTTTTAGCTCCATGCTTCTACCAATACAACATGACAGATAAATGCTGATATTATGTTTTAGTGTTCAAATCGAGGCTACGAGAATTATTATGTCGGTTTTGATAAGTGTCTATCGGTGGTTCACGCGGTTAGGATCGAGATCGTCGGTGGATTTGTAGCGCATATTTTAACCGGTGTGTTTAATTACTTAGTGAATAGTGTTAATACATGATTGGTAATGTAGTCCTAATTCTGGCCTTGACAGCTTAGTATTTTGGGTTTCGTCTCCATTACGAGATGTAATACCATTTTGCGCGAGACAATTCATAAGGCAACTAAAAAAAAAAAAAAACGGCAAGAAACGCGTATGCCTTGTGCATGTGTAGGAAATAATCGCGTCACTTAAAAAACACTATGACATTATGACTAATCGCAAATATCTTTTTCTATTGGTTATTATATTCAAAATCAAAATATATTCATAAGTATAGTATATATTTCCATAACAATTTAACAATAAATTTGGTGACGACGACACGTATGAAAACTGTGACAAACAAAACGCACAGAAATTCGTTCAAGCATGATGTATTGACAACAAATCTTAGCTGACAGGAACGACTAGTGAAAAAACTCAGAAATTGAAAATGCTCACATGGAAACATTACTAGCGCAAAATGTGCACATGCGCAAAACAAACCTGAACGGTCAACCCATTCACATACGGTTGAAATAACCAAATAATTGAACATTTTTATTTTTACTTAAAATTGAACTATTTTTAAAATAGTTCGATATAGCTCGAGTTTGTTCGTTAACAACATTGAGGAAGAACTATCAAATCTCTTTATAGTTGGTCACCTATCATCCGGGTTATGTTGATAACAAAACCAGTAGGCACTAAGTATGTACTTTAAATAATTATTGAACAGGAATGATTAAAGAAAAGGTGCTATAACCTTCTTTTGACACTGTAATTCTCTAATCTGACGTTAAGTAAACGTGACTT